CATTTCGGGTAGTAGCTGCGTGGAATGACCTTCCTCCGACGGTTGTACACCCTCCTTCTCGAACCCAATTTAAAGCACTATTGGACATTTATTTATGCGAATCCTCGCGCTGGCGAGCATACTGCCCCGCGCTGAGAACATAACGAGCAGTGCTACGCCCTTTTTCACTTGTGCCTTTTTGGTGAACGACAGCCGCTGACCGACAAGAGCAAGAGCGACACGGGGAACTTGGGCAATAGCCTCGAACCTGTGTATCGATCCGTGATTCCGTGACTTGAACTGAAACTTGAAAGTCGCTGCTGGATGTGAGTGACCTTGGGTAATTGAGTGAATCGCCGGGGTCACAAAAGGCATCAGTGGAGGTGGAGATTGTAGTATACGGTTTTTGTCAGTTTGATTGATTCATATGTAAGTATTGGCGATGTACAACCTTGCTTACTGGGCTTTGGCTCATGAGCTTTGTTTCTGTTTTCCATCCACAGAAATTGTCGTGAACACCTGCCTTCGGAGAATCACTGTCCCCTGGTGCTTCCATAGCGTGCATATTACAAGATGGAATAACTCGAAGTGGATACAAATGACAAGTTCTCTCTCAGAAATATGGTCTACATTGAAACTAAGTATACTCACTGGTGTCGCTGTTAGAAGGAAGTCCGTTGTCAGCCACACTGACCTACAAGAACAAAACCGACCCGGGAAACTTGGGCACAAGCCTCGATCCTGTGTATCAATCCGTGAATCCGTGAATCCGGAAAATGATATTTTCGATGGGGTGGTAGAGGCTTAATGTATTAGCACGTGCTAATGCATAGAGGCAAACGAACAGCTTAAAGAAAATGGTGAATTGATGGAGAGCGAAAACTAAAATTGCCGCAGGAAAACATCGGCCAACTTCGAGCGAAAGTTTCAGTGGGTTAGAACGAAGTCGTCCCAGAGGTGATTACAGCCGGTGGTAAATTTGTTCGGGGTTGCAATTACACGCTCGAGTTGTTGGCAGGTGATGACCAAGGGTAGGAAGAAAATAGTTGCGAGAGTGACATCACGGTATGACAGAACAGTGCCATTGTTGCACTGATATACTTTGGTTTCTGGATAGCCTCGAAACGGACGTCAAGTTTGAGGTAATGGGACAAAGGATTCGCATTACTGTGGCGGCTTGATAGGAGTTAGACGCAGGTTGAGTCAGGTAGAGTCAGAACAATGGAAAGTTACTGGTAATTTCGATACAGTACTGTTAACCATAAAAGGTGGTTATTTGACGGTTGGATAACCATCGTATAGCCAGAAAACTTGGTTATTTTGGACTGCATGTGCTGATAGGGGTTGGAGGATCAGGTGGTTGAGAGCCGGGGACCAGCCAGGTTGAATCGATAACGGCCAAACAGGGCGTTTCGAGCGAAGGAGTAAAAAAGTGAAGATAACATCATTTCCACGAAATTTTCCACCGTCTTCACGGACGCCACATGCCTAGCCATTGACAACCATCAAAATATGAATTCCGTGCATATAATAGAATTCACATGCGCTTAAAGAATTTTCAAGACTACCTCCCCACAAGAAGCTTTTAAGGGTTGGAATATGCACAATAAGTTTGAGCGCTGTTTTCTTTCGTTCGAACTACTCTTCCAGAGGAAGTGAAACATATATTAGGCTTGGCCTTAAAATGCATAAATTAAGGAAAGATCGGTTGTTAAAGCAAGGAAAAGATAGTCCAAAACAATTTTGAGAATTTGTTTCAGGAAATCCCGTGTACTCCGCAGGTTTTGTGTACGATTTAACGTTTATCACGTGGGTATATATATGTTTAGCAGAGACGCGAGGTTTGTGTTCTTTCAGATGTTTTGAAATAAACTTGATCACTTATCCAAGACAACTCACGGCCGGTTATGTCCTTCCTGGGACTAATCAGGCAGGCGGAACTTCCTAGCCTCCGCAAATTTATGTTCAACACGAACCCAAATTGGACAAAATGAGCGAAATACCGTCATTTGCATACCAATTTAGTTTTGGCTAGGAGGGGGGGCTCATCTGGAACCCAGCTTATTCTCTCGTTGATGTTTTTGAGCAGCCGAATGTGCTTTTGAATTTGTTGCCAGATACTCGGCGACTGCGCCTACCCGATTAACCCCGAGAAAGGCGCAGGCAGTCGTGGGTTGTCAAAGAGTTTTCAGAAACCTTATGAGTAGTGTTGCCGCAAAACTTGACCACTTCATGCGGAGGATCTGAGGTATCTTCCATTCTCTAATTATCACTGTCGCAGAGTCATCGCTGAAATCGGTTGGAACCAACGAGTTTGGAACGAGGTGATCAGGATAGCATTGATGTCAAAGAAGCAAGATGGCCCAAGTGGTAAGAGCGCGAATTTACTGACTGGAGGGTCCGTGGTTCGAATCCG